GGGAGAGAAAGAGAGAATGAGAAAAGCAATGTGTACGCGTGTGTGCGTGTTTTGTGCGAGCAAGAGGGAGAAACAAGCTCCAGTACCATAAATCCTATACGCCCGATACAGCGTGTACATTAGCGGAAATGTACGCGCTCACGCACGTACGTGACGCGCAATACACCACACAACGATAAATCGATAAATACATTTCGCGCGCCTGGTTCCGTGTTGTTTAAGTGTGTATGTGTATGTATGTATGTGTGTGTATGTGTGTGTATGTGTGTGTGTATGTGTGTGTGTATGTGTGTGTGTATGTGTGTGTGTGTGTATGTGTGTGTGTGCATGACTGTGTGGCTGGTTGCCCGTCTGTGTGCCGTGCGTTTAAGTGTGTGCATGTGCGCGCTCTTCGCGTCTCGCTCTCCGGCGAGCACTCTCCCGTTTCCTATCTAACTTTCCGAGACTGCCCCGACAGACTCCACTCTTAAACGTTCTCAACTATCATTAGCGTTAACTTCCTTAGCGAGCTCGTTGGTACCGCGCCCGAAATCTCCGGGCTTTTGTCTGTCGTTGATGCACCTCGCTTGATTCGCATTTAATTTGTGCTTCCGTTGCGCCCCGCCTGAGTCTCGATAGTCACGCAACGCGGTTGCGAAGCTTTGTAATCTTACCCCGCCCGAGATCCTTTATTCGTCCACGCGCCTGCATAAGATCCCGAGGATATTACAATCCCAGGACATGTAATAGACTCTGGCTCTGTTCCATGCTCTGGCTCTGTTCCATGCTTTCCTCTCATTCTCCGTTCCATTTTTCTTTTCCTCTCTACCTCACTCTATTTCTACGCAGAAGAATACAACATTCTTGTTTTGAAAATATTTTTACTTCCGACATGCAAATCTTGAAATGAGTTCACACAGCGCTAAATGAAAATAAATCACTTGCATCAATACATTTTATACTGATTCAACTGAGAAAAATATATTATTCGAATTATCATTCGAAAATATATCATTTTTATGCATAGAGAGCGCAAAATACTGGATTGAGAATATGATATTTTTAAATGTAGAAGACATCATTATCATCATAATATATATAATAATATTATACTTCTTAGGAGATCGTTATAAATATACAAAACAAAATTATATAATACTGAAATTCAAGACCTTGAAAATTCTTCTAAAAAATTGTTTATGTATGAAACGATTGTTAATTTGAGTATATTAGTTTTAAATAAATCTTCTTTTGTCTGTGTAATATGTCTCTCTTTCTCTACTTCGTCGCAGTTAGTATGATCTCTCTCTTTCTCTCTCTCTCTCTCTCTCTCTCTCTCTCCCTCCCTCTCTATCTCTGTCATTATTTTTACATTCCTTTTTATTTTTATTCCCATCACCGCAGCCTTTCTCTCTTTGACCCTATGACGGAGTGAAGCGATCGGTATAATTCGCAGAGGGATAGTGGGCGATCGACAGGGTGGTCGGACCGAGGGGGTCAATATGGAATTCGCTGATAAGACTGTGGCACTCGTTCAACGGATTATTAGCATAGCGGGACGGAGGGATAGGGTGGGGATCGATAGGGGCGCGCCTAGCTTCTCTTTTTACGGAAGGAAGAAGGTGTGAGAAAAGAGGACGCGTGCTTCCATACTATGGCAATCGATTGCACGAGCGGCGCGGCGCGCCGCGCGGTCGTTGGACCTGCCGTGGTTATTTGCGTCGGACCTTACAGCAAATATGCGGACGGGACCTTGTGAAGTCGCGCGCACCGTCCACAGGAATATTTAAACACGACCGCGGCCCTCGTTGCGCCTCGATCACCACCGTCAATCGACACTCTTTTCACGTCGGGAACGGACAGTCCCTTGCGTCCCGGCGTGAACATTATCGCAATTCTGACCGAAAGGTCGAATGAAAAAGGACGAATAAAACTGTCACAGCAAAGAAAGGCTATTGGGTGCTTCCACGTGTATAATCTGAACAATCCGTGTAAAGTGGTCCATGTTAATACGTGACGAGAAAAAGAAATAGCGACAAGGAGAAGATTTTGAAGATGTTAAAATGATTCCATTGGGCATTCCTATATTAATTCAGTTTTCTAGGAGGCTGAAGCACGGCGCACTTACGAATTCTACTTTGCACTCCTTTATAGAGGATGATTCTAATTCTAATTCCAGTTTGTTGGCGGGAAATCCCTTCGGTACACAAAATAACCCTTTAATACACAAAATATAAAATTTTAGTACAGAGTAAATAACTATTAAACGTGTTAACATATATAATGATAATATTTTTTTACGAATATACTAAAAAGCAGTACTAATGTACTCATTAACATTGTATATTTCAAGTTCTAATGAAATATACAGGGTGAGGCGCCTAATGTTAGTTTCTAAAATATCTCTGGTATTTGTTATATTAGAAAGAAATGTTTAAGGAATAAATCGTGCGGTTGGAAAGGACAAATATTGTGGTCGGAGTGAAACATTCATTTCGAGGATACCTTTTTTTAACGGATATCTCTTCTAATATAAGAGAAATAACAGAGATATATCAGAATCTAACGTTAAAAAAAGTGACTCTTCCTACATATTACCATCATATATCTGGTCCACAATGTGCTAATAGAGATTTGTTCGTGGAACTAAATAAACTCGATTTGGAAAGAGGATACGTGGAAGCTCTCGCCGGATTTTCCACGGCGTTTAACTTTCGCAGCGTATCGCCTTGAGATCCACTTGCTCCTTAAATTATACGAGAAACGAGGGATCCTTGGTCCCTTCTTTCTTTCTTTCTTCCTTATTTTTGCAAGCGACGTCTCACTGAGAAAAGCGCGTATCCGATTCACATGTTACTTGGTGAAAACATTACCCTGTCGACCGGAGTAATTAAACACGCGTTCCTCGCGCTGCAAGACATTCCCGTTTCAATCTGCGCTTTCATTACTGCGCGGGAACGCAAAGCGGCGAGATCTTCGCGTTAATATCTCGCACGCGAGTTATGCGATATAAAGCGGATGTTTAACGCGAGAGTTAGCGTATTCATCTCTTGGCTGGTGGTGGAGCTGGTGGTGGTGGTGATTGTAGAATCATAAAGTACTTTCTGAATAGTACTCAACTACTTTAATTTATGACTTCCACTTAAGGCGCCGCATCTCCTCGCAGACGTTACTTTGAATTCGCTCGCGTTTTCTATTAATTCTGTAATTCCGAAACACTCGTCTCGCGCGCGCGCCTATTATTTATTAATTCCGCCTTGGTATTCCTGTTTGAGAAGACAAAGAAAGGAGAACACTCGATTCTTTCTCCCCGCGCGCTGGACGATTAACAACACAATTCCAAGAAAGATAATCGAATGAAAATTCAGGACGCGAATCGGCCGAGGTACGTATTTTAATACGTCTCACAAAGGAGACGGGACGCGGAAAACGGACGGTGGCAATTGCGCCGACTGTTATCCTGCAATTATACTGTTAATTGATTCGCGTAATTCTGATAAGATGGCGAGTACACGTCGGGCGAGCGAGACAGAGTGTGTGAGTGCGAATGAGAAAGGAGGGAGAGAGAGAGAGAGAGAGAGAGAGAGAGTGAGAGAGAGAGAGAGAGAAAGAGAGTGAGTGATGAAGAGAGAGACAGAGAAAATGAGAAAGCACACCAACGCGACGAAAACCGGTAGATCGTGAGCGTGTGAGATGCGAATTTTAGCGCGTGAGAGCGAGAGCGCGCGAGACAAAATAGCGCGCGAGTTCGCAACAAGAATCGATATGGATATAAGCGTATAGCGTGTAAGAATTATATGACCGTTTACTATTGTCGCATCAATTAATTATACGTGTAAAACACCGGTCGCCTTAGGCGCGGTGGAGTCTTTTTGCAAACGAGTCTTTCGGAAAACAAAAAAAATAATCTCTGTGTGTGTCAGTAAACCACTTATCTACTTTACGTAAACGATGTTTCTCTAAGCAGTAAATAAGAGAGAAAGGGTGAGGGAGAGAGAGAGAGAGAGAGGGTGAGGAGCGTGCAACAGCGATCTCTCGCGCAACCTAACATCGGAATCCGAAGAATCGCGCGTGATTCGGGCGCGTAACCGGGCCGTAACGATCGATCGATCGATCTCGTCGCGAAGGGTCGCGTGAGGCGCGATCGTTACGGCGTTCGGCCGCGCGCGACACCGTTAAGAACAAACACAAACACACACACAATGTACATACACACGCGTGACACACAAATCCACTGCGATGCACGGTGAAACCGCGCCAGGTCGCGAAGCGCTGTGCGACACACAGACGACAAATTTGCGAACCGTTGCGGAGGTTCAAATGAAGAAGTGAAGGACACAAAAGCCGAGACACACACATTGTGTACACACACGCTGTGTATATTATTACCGTTACCATACCCAATTATTACACTAATGTACTACTCTTAATTAGGCGAGTACACTAATCAAAGTAGGGATCCAAAATTAACTTTATCTGTTATTTCCAATTCGCCGACGGCGGTGGTCCTCGCGGTGCTGTCGCGCGGCGTCGTCGTCGCTGCGTCCGCCGCTGCGTCTCGCGATCGCGCGTGAATCCGGGGAAACGCTGATACACGGAGATGGCACGAGCAGACACCTCTCCGCGACGTAGAGCCGCGTAGAAATTTCCCAACATTTCCCAGATGCAGCACAAATTCCGACTGAACTGCCCAAATCTGTCCCGAAATTCTTTCTCCCACTACAGTATCAACAGAGAACCCCTCACAAACTCTTATCACAAACATGTATTCTCTGGCTAGAATCGGAACAGAAATATTGTGGGAATTGGTGCTCCCTTTCGTTGACAAAGCGCTGGTATCTTTTATGGTATCAAATAGGAATCTCATTTTATGGTATCAAATATAGAATCAAATATGGAAATATGGAATGCCAATTATTGCATTCGATAGAATAAAAGAGATTAAAGAGATATTTTTAAAACACTTTATTTTCAACTATATTTCATCTATCAGTATTTTTGAAACACAAAT